GTCCGTTGTTTTCCTCCTGTTTGTATCCCCCTCCCCCTTACTTTGGTTTGTGAGCTGCCCTGAGTCCCTCTGGGAATAGGGTGGCATAGAAATGCAATAAATCAAATCAAATCAAATCAATCCAACTGTGGCAACTTTAAGACTTGTGGACTTCAACTCCCAGTGATCACATGACCCCGGGACACTGCAACCGTCATAAATATGAGTCAGTTGCCAAGTATCCGAATTTTGATCATGCAACCATGGGGAGGTTGCGAAGATTGTTAAGTGTGTGAAATAGTCATCAGTCACTTTTTTCAGTGAGTTTGTAATGAACAGAAGAGAACAGAACAAGGAATAGAATGGAATAAGGAATAGCATAGCATAGCATAGCATAGAACAGAAAATAGCATAGAATAGGAATAGAACAGAATAGAATACAATAAGGAATAGCATAGCATAACATATAACAGAAAATAGAATAGAACAGAACAGAGTAAAGAATAGCATAGCATAGTATGCAACATAAAATAGCATAGAATAGGAATAGGAATAGAATAGAAATAGAACAGAACAGAACAGAATAGAATAAGGAATAGAACGGAATAAGGAATAGCATAGCATAACATAGAATAGAACAGAAAATAGCATAGAATAGGAATAGAATAGAATAGGAATAGAACAGTATAAAGAACAGAACAGAATAAGGAATAGCATAGCATAGAATAGAACAGAAAATAGCATAGAATAGAAATAGGAATAAAATAGAATAGGAATAGAACAGAACGGAATAGAACAGAACAGAATAGAATAAGGAACAGAATAGAATAAGGAATAGCATAGCATGGAACAGAAAATAGCATAGAATATGAATAGAATAGATCACAACAGAACTGAATATAGAATAAAATAAAATGCAGAAAAAAATGTAGAACAGAAGAGAACAAAATTCTTTATTGGCCAATTGTAATTAGACGCACAAGGAATTTGTCTCTGGTGCATAAACTTTCAGTGTACATGCAAAACAACTAAGTAATAATAATGGATTTAAAACTCTCAAGAGTTCATCTAAGAAGCAGCTCTACCGACCAGCTAAGATCTGGATCCTAATATTTTCGAAAGCTGCTTTCTACTCATCCAGAAAATGCATGGTTTTAGGCAGCTTGACCCGGCATATCACTGGATGAAACTAATTCTGCCATTCCTGAAGAAAAGATATTCTGACAGCACAAAGAGGCTTACCTCTACTAGTTTGGAAGCTAGGTACATTGAAATAGTTGTGCTTCTATAAAACATCATTGACAAGCCTGCTAGGGACCCTGTGTGATTAAAAGAAAGAAAGAAAGAAAACAAATTAGCCAAATTCTGGATACTGGACCGCATGAGATTTTATTGCAGAGTTCGCAAATAAATGGAGAGAAAGCTGGATTGAAAAAGGTTTATCTAGTTCATCCTGTCTCAACTTGATGTCACTGAGATATCTTTGCCCATGGAAGGTTTATAAAGAGCTCAGGTACCTGAGGTAAAACGGATCAGCCTTCCCTTTCCAATTTGCTCCACAGAACCAGGCAAACACATCCCTGTGACCGTCAGAAGTCACTTAAAGCTTGATGCTCTATCTGTCTACTCCCATTTTGAAGCCACTGCAAATTATGTACCATATTTTTTCGGAGTATAAGACGCACCGGAGTATAAGACGCACCGGAGCAGAAGATACACCAAGATTTGGAAGAGGCAATTTTTTTAAAAAAGTTTTTGCACTCTGCAGACCTCCCAAAAATGGCCCGTTTGACGTTTTTTGTCAAAAAAAGGGAGCATGCATAGCCTTTAAAGAAACGGCCCGTTTTTCACTCATTTTTGCCCTCCCCAGCCCCAGGAGTACTCTGAAAACCTCCTAAAGGCTATGCACGGCCATTTTGGTGAAGGGGATGGGGTTTCAGGAGGCAAAAAATGCTGTTTTCAGTGTATAAGACGCACCCAGGTTTTCAGCTTCTTTTTTGAGGGAAAAAGGTGCATCTTATACTCTGAAAAATATGGTATATCACATCACCAGTAGCGAATCACACTTCAGTCATGCACTGTGTGAAGAAGTAATTCCTTCGCTTAGTTTTAAATTTTCATCATTCAGCTTCATTGGATGAATGCTGATTTTTTAACACCAGGAAAAGATATCACAATGATCAGCATATCCCCCAATCAGCTATTCAACTAATATATTCAAACTTGTAGCCATTCTACCCTAAGTCCCTTCTTTCTTAGTCAACTTTTTAAAAAAATTCCTGTACAAGTTCTCTTGGGGTTCCTTCCCACGCTCGCCACCTCCTGCACCTCAAAAATAATAAAACCTCCCCGAAAATAAGGCCAAGTGCTTATTTCGGGGGTCAAAAGAAAATAAGACCCTGTCTTATTTTCAGGGAAACACGGTAGCTTGGGGAATCTGAGAGAGACTGTTGGGAGGAAATGTAGATTCACCTGCAAAGAGTGCGTGTACTTCATCGTCCAGGTTCCGTATCCATNGTATTGTTGTCTTGTTTTTTGTCTTTTTTATATTTGTTCCCCTCCCCTTGGCTTTTGTTCAGCCGCCCTGAGTCCCTTCGGGAATAGGGCGGCATACAAGTCGAATAAATCCAATCCAATCCAATCCAAAGTGTATTGCACAGAAAGTATTTCCCACTCAAAAGTTTGCCACAATGTGCAAAGTTCAACATCTTTTTTAATTCCAGTGTTTTCCTCAGAATCAGGTAATTGTTTTTACTCTCCAGTGAAAGGAACACGCCCAGAGAAAGCCCTTGTTTTTCGGACACAAGTGTCTCCCCTAAAAGTCAGTTTTCACTTACACATAATCGGACCCAGCTCTATGAAACTTCTACGATATTGGATAATAATCAATGGGTTTTAGAACTCAGATCTTCAGCAAGTTGCAGTTGTACAGATATTAAATTTCTAAAGTAATTCTGTTTCAAAATAAATTTTAAAAAAGGCTGAACAACATCTGCTACCGGCAATTTGAGCCTACCTGAAAAACAATAAATATAGGTAGTAAGCTTCATTATGAGGAAACGTTAAAAAAAAATCTAGGCTCGAATACAAAGATTTACCTTAAGCCCAAATGCAAAGACTACCGGTCTTTGCAAAGTCCTTTGAAGTCCTTTATTTGCATTTCCCAGAGTTTTCAAAATGAAGACAACTAGGAAATAGATACTTCCACGGATGAATACCCATGTGTTTTCAAATTTGTCTTCCCTTCTGCTATGTGACACAAAATGAATTTTTGGGGCTTGGCATCTGGGCATTTTATGGAATCACCTTCACCAACCTGAATCAGCCCAACTGGCCAGATTATTTAGGGCAGTGATGGCGAATCTTTTTGGCACCGAGTGCCAAAAAGAAAGTGTGTGAGCGCACACAGAGCACGCTTGTTGGGGCCACAACCCAGAAGAGGAGCTGGCCAGGTGGCATGTGCATGCCTGAAAATGAACTTCCGGTTTCCGGCATGCGCGCTGGCAAGCTGGTCTTCCGGTTACTGGCGTGCACGCGTGCTCATGCCAGAAAATGGAAGACCAACTCTTCCAGTTTCCGGAACTGCCACATGGACGAAGGCCAGCTGATCATCACGTGCGCATGAGCCCCAGAAACCTGGAAGAGGAACAGACGCCACGCATGCCAGGCAACATTGCTCCATGTGCCACTTCGGGCACGCGTGACAAAAGTTTGCTATCACAGATTTAGGGAGAAGCTCCTCATGATCCTTATGGAACTGAAGCCAGAAGGCCCTGATTTTCAGTGGTAGAGTTTAGACCTCCTTGATGACTTTTGGAAAGATGTTAAAAAAAAAACTGAGTTCCTTTGGAGAGTGCCGAGTTCAAGACTTGCATCTTCTTTTATTCCTATTTTTATTTTCGTGGCCGTTTTATTTCTGTGACTTTGGCCGAGAGGATCGTTATTGGTTCGTGGTTTTATGATTTAATTTTTAACGTTTAAAGTACCTTGGCGGTTTAAATGATTGTTATTATCATTATTATTGTATCATGGAGAGCTTTGGGATGGCAGCCTGATATAAAAGTGATATCTAAATAAATAAATCACACAGCAACTGTGAACATTCACAGATCCTGAGTCTGTGGTACGAAAAAATCTCTTCCTTCTCAGGTCCAGTCAATTGGAATCCCCTGCACTTTGCCCCCTCCCCAAATTCCCATTTTTCTTCTACCCTTACAGGTTAGATCTCTCATCCTGTCCTAAATAATATTTTTTGGGGGAAAAAATGAATAAAAGGAAAGTGCTCAAACTTTTGAATATCATTCTGGCTCTTTCATACTTAATGCTGACTGCAGATGACCTCCATTCCATTCCATCTCAGTTCTCCCAGCCTTCAAGTTAATTTCTTAAAAAACCTTTCGTTTCAAGAAACTAGGATGTTCAGATAAAAGAAATACTGACGTTTAGAGACAGAATTAAAAATAAATGCTGACCAGGCATTTCTTCTATTTATTTATTCTTCAAGTCCAACCAACAAGGTCCCCTCCTAACCCCCTTATTCTATGTTCTTCGTTCTTCCAGGCATTAACTAACAGCCCCACATCTTATACTATTTCTATTTTGGGGGTATTTGTGTTGTGCCAATCTTGGGGTTCTTCAAACGATTTCAGCAGATTTCAAAAGTCTCAGGCAAACGCATGAAGTACTTCCTCTCTGTGCGCCATCACCAGCTGCTCTTCAGGTTTCTGGTGCGCAGATGCACAGCTGGTCTTCGTGGGTGCCGGAGCGCCAGAAAACAGCCTAAAATGCCCCCTCCCCCAAACAGGGGGGTCATTTTTTGCTGTTTTTTGGGTCATTTTCAGGCCAAAAACAGCCCTAAAAACGGCCTGTAAATGACCCTGAAAACAGCCTGAAAAACAGCCAAAAAACAGACATGCGCATGCGCTGGTCTTTGGGTTTCCGGTGCTGTGGTGCACACATGTTACGGTTTGGGCACTAGGTGTCGAAAAGGTTCACCATCACTGCTCTATTGCCTTACATAAGAAATATTGTGAGCTGTGGTGGCAGAGTGATTAGAATGCATTACGTCTGCTGACTGCCGGCTGCCTGCAGTTCGATCCTGACCGTCTTAAGGTTGACTCGGTCTTCCATCCTTCTGAGGTGGGTAGAATGAGGAGGACCCAGACTGTTGGGGGCAGCCTGCTGACTCTGTAAACCGCTTAGAGAGGGCTGAAAAGCACCGCGAAGCGGTATATAAGCTTAAGCGCTATTGCTATTGGTCAGGAAGATTCACCACTCACCTTTACCTGGGACATTCAAATTTTCTGCTCATCTAGCAATTGATAATGCATCCCTTCCTGTACCACACAATTGGCTGTGACAATTTTTTAGGGCAGCCATCTGATTTAAATAACCTTTTTGAACCACACCAAAAGGCCAGAAGCAGATTCAAAAAGATTTGACAAAACTAGATGCAAAGTCTACGGAGGAGGTGGGGAAGTAAAGATAATACTGAACAAACATAATCAATAGTCTCTTAAAAGGCCGACGCGTGATTTCGTTCTCCAATAAAGATAATAAACACAATCAGCCCTGTTAGTTCACAGTAACAACCGGAACGTAAGTGCAAATTATGATTGCAATATTATTTCACATTAGAAAGAGAGAGGTACTCTACGGTATGATATGATATAGATTCCGCCCCGCCCCCAGCCCTCCTTTTCCACTTTCGCTTCCATTCGTTTAGTCTGAATGGCAATTCTGAAAAAAATTTCTTAGGATCCAAATAAAATGTTATGCTTCTGTCCTGTGAATGCAGCATCATCGTTCCAGTGAGTGAAGTAATACTGGTTAATTTGTGTGCATATTCAAATCATATAATAGATAGGGGTGGGGGATTGGTTTCAGATAAATTAAATCTAGTTCCAAGCAATCTCTCTCTCTCTCTCTCTCTTTCTGGTACGTTTGATCACAGATATTTCAGCTTTTAAGATATCGCACAGATCTGAATAGTTGGTGGTTTTTTTCCTTTTAATCTCTCAAATGCTTTGAAAGTCCTTCCTTGCAGTTCACGTGCAGCTATATGACTAAGGTGGCTGTTAAAGCAGAAATCAGATAATCCATCAAGGCAAGTGGCTTTGTGCAATGACCAGCTTTCACATTGTCACCGGCTGATCAGAAAAATCAGCTAACACAATCTGTAAGAAGTAGGTATTGTTCTTAACACGTTTCCGTTCTACTTTAGCCGCTGAATTTAAAGTCTTGAGTTCACTTTGAACATTACCGGAAAGCAACATTCAAGTTGATAAAAATCAAGACGACTGTGTGTTCAGTGGCATGTTATTCACTTTCTGAAGAATGTTGTCAGAACAGTGTCAATTTTTTTCTTCTTCAATTCATGGATGCAAAAACTGAAAACTGCTACATTCCTCTTGAAAAGTCCAAATGTCTGACTCCCACCCTTTAAAAAAAAAAAAAAAAAAATCTCTCGGTGTGCAACTGGTTTTGGAGAGTTGACGCTCTCAGAAGTATTCAAAGCGAAAGTTGGATATAAACAGTGCAGTTATATAAATAAAGTACCGATATTGCCTTTTTAAACAATTGTCGAGAGCCATAATAATCTTCTTTAAAAAAAAAAAATCCATTTAAAAGAAAATCTTTTCCACAAGAATCTGACCTGCAACTATAGCATACATATACATATATGTTTTACGTCTCTTTTATTTCTAAATGTAAAAATATCATTTTTCTTTTTTTTTTTCTTTAAAAAAAANATAGATAGATAGATAGATAGATAGATAGATAGATAGATAGATAGATAGATAGATAGATAGATAGATAGAAGATAGATAGATGATAGATAACTAATAACATTAATTCATTAAAGTTTAATTTAAAATATTAGAGGTGGTTTTATAATAACCACGTAACCAATCTTCCATTCTAAACTTCCATTCCATGATAATACTGACCTTTTTATTTTTTTAACCCTCACATTTTTGCCACTCATTTTCTGCCCTTGTTTTTCCCTCCTGGCTTACCGAGTAATGGAATGTTATAAAGACTTAAGGTCAGAGAAAGCAAAATCATGTGAATTTCCAGCTTGCCCATATTAGGGAGGTTACGAATTTCTGACAGAAACCCACCAATTTTCCTCTAATGCTCACTAAGGAGCATTACGTCTTTTTATCCATAGATAGATAGCATAACTCTAGAACACCTCAAGCAATTTCAACCAAACTTCGTACACAGATGACTTACTCTCTGGAGAAAAATACTGGGGGGGGGGGAAGACAACCCTTAAATCCGCTTGGGGTTTGTGGTCTGTTAAGATGCAGCGTATTGTGCCTTTAAATGGCTTCTACTGTACTGCCGTAAAATGACTTCTACTGTACAGCGCAGTGAAGTTGCTATGGTAATGGCTTCATAGTACTCCACAAGGGGACTCCCTCTGGTAAGGGGGAAAATCCAACATTAGAAATTACGTTTGGTCCAGATATTTTCCCCCTATAAATAAATACCCGGGCAATACCGGATTATTGGCTAGTTAGGTTAAAAAAATAAAAAGGTTGGTTAATGCCACTGTATTTCCCCACCCCTTCAAAACTGTTTGCAAATAACATGTTTAATTTAGCTTCAACAGATACTCTGCTTCAGAACAATAAAGGGATTTTTAAGCTAAAGAGTTGCAACGGCGGCAGCAGCTGCTGAGGCCAGATGAGGAGCTTAGCATCATTACCTTCTAATTTTTCAGCCGTTTTGAAACTTACTTTGTATATGCTGACAAATGACCCAAGGAAAGCTCCAAGCTGGAAGTTTTCTTTGTTGTAGAAAAGCGAGAGAAGCCGGGATGGTTGTGTAAACAGATGTCGGAACGCGGATGGGATGCGAAGGCAGCACTGGATCAGGTATCCGACGCTAAACATCCTAATGAAGCCCTAGAAAAGATATTAAGAATGTGCCATGAGAGAGAGAGAGAGAGAAAAACAGTCTTGGGAACTCTGCTCACAAGGAATAATAGGTGGCGTTAACAGAGAATCAAGATCAGGTGAAGGGTTAATACCACTTTATAATGCCTTGGTGAGCCCACACTTGGAATACTACATCCAGTTTTGGTCACTACGATGTAAAAAAAAAAGATGGCGAGACTCTAGAACCGTGATGGCAAACCTGTTGCGGTCCGTCGGGGGCTGGAAGCGCCCGAGTCTAGGGAAGGCTCGGACGAGGGCGTCGGAGGCAGAGAGGGGGCCAAGGCCATCTGGTAGTGATGTGCTGCCTCCGGAGCCTCTGGAGTCTGACATCAGGGCGGCAGAACAGCGTGAGCCTGTTCCCAGGGTGTGCATGCGCACAGCTGCCAGAAGGCAAGAACAGTTAAGACAACGGGGGCAACTCGGGAGTAAGGCTTGGAGATGGTTGGCCCCTCCCATAAGACATAAAAAAGGAGCAAGCGGAGGTGAGCCTTTACAGGAAGCAATTAGTTCATCTGGTCGGTTCGAGCTTTGAGAAGTTCTGTTTGGCTCTGTGCTACCTTTGGCCTTGCAAAACTAAGGGGCAATTAGGTCTCTGGCAGCGTTTCAAGGGAGATAAAGGTGGGTACTTATCAACTTTACCCTGAAAGACTGTGGCAACTCAAGCAGACATCTGTCGGACTCTTCATAGGCTGTGAATCTTTATGGGCTATGGCTGACCGTAATTCACAGCCGTATAAATAAAAGAGGGGACTGTGATTTAGGCTTTCTTGGGAAGCCTAAATCAGAATAGAACCTATGGTACACATGCCAGAGGTGGCAGGCAGAACCCTCTATGTGGGCACACATGCCATTGTCAGCTGCTTTTCCGGGTTCCGTTGCACGCATTCGCAACGGCCAGCTGCTCTCTTCTGGGTTCCGGCGCTCCGGCATGCACGCGCCCCCTCGCCCCAGGTTAGCCATCACTGCAAATCACATCAAGGTTTTCAGGAACGTCCTTTCGGTTCCACCACAAAACCGCGTTCGACTAAAGGGCGCTCGACGAAACCGCATAGCTGACGTCATCACAGTGCGAC